CCTTCATGCACTACTTATACCACATACTAATCAACGTTCTTCTTTACGACAAGATTTTGGAACTTAAGGAAGCGCAGAAGCATATTTCTCTTAATCCCTTCGAATAGCTGATGGGTTCTTTGCACTTACTGAAGGCAAAGTACCACTAAAAGCGTCGACCTAACTGCAGCCAGCATTTCATCTAAACAGCATTCGTGAAAATTTATTCGAAGACTTAGTGCTTAGATAGCAATTTTCATGCTCTCCTTCAACTTTTTACTAAGTGTCAACGTTGTTTCGATCAATGAAGAACTTTTTTTACAAGCGCCCATTATTACATTATTAAATTCAATTTTTCTAAACTTTACCTTCTCTTTTGCTATGCTTTTGACTCAATTATCTAATCCATCCCAGCAAACAAACTCTCTTTTCTTCAAAAGAAACTAAAATTGAAAGGATCAATACGTCTTCCAAAGGCATAGCAGATTAATTAGACGAACGTACTGTACGTATGCACTTTTGCGTTGTAAGTTTTTCGATCGCAATACTCGAAATTTCGAAATCACATTTAGTTGGAATTAAAATGCAAAGTTCAATAATCGCTTCTGTGAAATGTTTTGCGGAACTCTGCAAGCTTTTTAACACTTCTAGAATTTCAGTTCGACCGCGCTATCCATCGACTTTACGCGGATCCTGGCCAAGTGTGCTCGAATCAAGTAGCGGACCGCCTATTCCAGCGTTTATACTGGGCCCTAAGAGCTTTGCAGTTCAAGGTTTTCTACAGAAACGAAGGTGAGCAATCATCTATTTTCTCTATTATGCTTTCATTATGCATGCTTTTAATGGAAAGAATGGATATTAAGAGCTGGACGTGGACGAAGTTGCGGATCGTTGGGAGGTCGGTGTCCGTCCTCCTTCGCTCGATGAGCTAGCACGAACTACTCGTTTCAACCGAAGATGGATCAAATACATGTATGCAAAGTTTAAAAATGTAAGTTGCCACATACTAACTAAAACTTGATACCCTCTCTCTTTCCTCAGAACTGGAATTAGTTTTTAGTCGTCTGTTAAATGCGCAATACATGGTTTCTTTGT